GTTTCTTATTAGAGGTTAACAGTTTTATATCATGTAATAAATAGCCTAATAAATGCAAAAAAACTGTAGTTTTTGTCTGATATAACAATAAAAAACTATGAAATATGTTTTGCGGCTCCAGACAAAAAAATGTTTTGGAAAAAGGAGCAAAATGGCTCTTTTGGTCAAAAAGGTTGCAGACCCCTGGGTTAAAGCATGTTATTGAATTTCATTATTTTTATTATTAGATATTAATAGGATCCCTATAAAGTATATTCATTACTCGTTATTCTCTACTAATAGTTCATTAAAGACTGTATATAATGACTATTTTGCACATCCCTTTCAAGATTTCAAGATTTTCTATGGTTTATTGACATATCATATAGGCCTACACAACTATGGTGTAGTTATGCATTGAATGAAAAACTTGGGTCGCAGGTTCCTCAATAGTGCATTACAAGACATCTATCAATATTTGTGCATACCTCCAGCAATGTTAACTATGTTGAAGCACTTATTTTAACTGATATTATACATAATGTATTATAATCTTATAAGATGTATGTAGATATTTCATCTCCGGCCTTGTCAGGTATTGAACAATCAATAAATAAAGAACACAGAATTGTTGAATATAAAACACAGAATTTGTGTGATTATACTAAATGATTTACAAATGAACACCACTGCATATTTAACTGTTATACATGCTGATGTAACACAAATGTTCCAACTTGGGATCAATAAAGTATATCTTATCTTAAGCTGATCGATGGCTACTGCCATATTTGCAAAATGTGCCTCTGAACCTTGACAAGTGCATGTTTCAGGCTTATCAATTAATGTAATGTAATGTTATCAATTAACAACAGGGGTCACAAACATAAGACCAGCTGTTAAATAAAGCTCTGCTGACCTTAGCTGGCATGTGTGTATATATATTAATGCTGCCCATTATGGGCACAAGCAATTTTCACCCATTTATTAATTATATGTTTTAAATGTGAGTGTTTCCTATCCCCTAAACCTCCAGGGATGTACACAGTTTAATACTGGCAACTTCTTATTATGGGAAATACGAAAACGTCTTTTAAAACTACAACTCCCAGTAGAGGAGTGCCATAGATAGAAAACATGTTGCGAAACAGAATAGCCAGCATGTGTAGTTCTGGGGACGGGGGGACGCGGTGGACCCGTTCAAATCCAGTTTTGGACAGTCTGCCGTGGTTTCATCCCATTTCAAGTGCTCTTCGAGGCTCGGCTAACCCTCTGAGCACACTCTCCAATCACAGAGCTTGAGGACTATCAAGGGGTTTGTCAAACAGAGCACATGGTGTAGTCCAAACGATAGCTGGGGATTCTGGGTAGTGTAGTGTCTTCTGCCATCCTTTACTCCGAAAAAATATTTGTTTCTCCGAATCGAAGGGGAAAAATACAAAAGCATTGCACACAATTTAAAACCAATCAATGTTGTGTAATTAACAAGGATAATCTGGTGTTTTTTAGTCGATGAGTAGTGCAGATATCACTGTAAAATCAATCGACAGTAAGGGGAATACTTACTTCCGGGTGTACAATTCTCCGTTATCCAATGAGAATGGACGCTCACATTGCCTTTAAGGGCATTCGACACAAACGAATGCTGTGCTTCCATGAGCGTCCATAGAAGCATATGGACATCCCGGAAAGCTGAAAATGGACGCTAAGGCCCCCCCCCCCTTGCGTTGAAAATGGACACTAAGGGCCCCCCCTTGCGTTGGAAAAAGCCGACACAGGGGACTTGACATAACGTCAACATAGGCCGACCTGGGAGTGAGGATGTGTTGATTTAGTTGTATATGTGTTTTATAGTGGGTAACCTTGGTTCTCTTATTATGATAATGCTCCGTGCCAACATCTTTCCCATTTTATCTTAATGATTGAGCAATAAGGATTTTTGTTTTTATAGGAAAATAACCTTAAGACAAGTATAGAGTATTGTTAATGGAAGTAATTCTCTTTCAGTCTCAGTTGGGAAAAGCAGCCTGGCTAACACCATATTTGGAGCTGAACTGTTCACAACTAATACTACTGCCAATTCTGAATCAAGTACATATCAAGCAGAAACCAGATCTGTCAGTGGAAGAAGCATCACTCTGATCGACACTCCTGGTTTCTTCGACACAGATCAATCAGAGAAGGAGCTTTAGCCTGAGATAATAACGTGTATCACAGAGTGCGCTCCTTGGCTGCATGCTTTTCTCATTGTGCTTGAAGTGAAGAAATTCACAAAGCACGAACGGGAAGTGATCAAAGAATTAAACAAATTATTTTCTGAAGAAGTCTTCAAATACGCAACGGTTCTCTTCACTCATGCTGACCAGTTCGATGAAGGCCAAAGTTTCCTCCCTTTCGGAGGCTTGGTAACAGTTACAATGATTTTAAAAGGAATACAAAACTACCCGATTCCACCAATCTCTGCATCCCAAACATTGCTTACAGCCACCTCTAAAAATGTTTTGGTGTCTGGTTTTATTGCCGAGCTTTTTCTGTTTTTAAAAACGTTATTGCTGTTTTTTTATGACATTGTGACGACCCCTGCCTTGTTATCTCTGGTGTGTGTGTATGTTCCTTTAAGGTTTTCCCTTTGGTCTATCAGCTGGGATTGAGAAAAAAAAGCTAAATAATAATTGAAACAAATATGTATTCATTGTCATTTATTCATCATACATACAGAAACTGAGAAGTCGTCTGCAGTGACTATGTGGTTTAATCAGTCTAAAAAGCAAACAGTCATCCGCAAAGCAAATCTTTTTAAAGTACATTTGACTTTATCTCTACTCTGACTAGAACGTAGGTAACCTGATCTGTGCCATGATGGGACGTTTTGTCTGTAATTCCTTTCTTGTCTGTGGACACATCTGAATAGGTGGAATAAAGTTATCTAGATTTACATTAGAATTAGGGGGGATTAGCTCATCGTCAGTTTATTCTAAGGATTTGGGTAAAAACCTTTGGTGGGTTTGTATGTCAGTAAAGAAGACTACACACACACATTAGTTTACTATGCATATTGTCTGGTGTGCCCTCTTTACTTTCTGATTAATTAAAAGAACATCTTGTGGCTTCAGAAATCAGTTTCCTCTCTCTGCCGGTTATTTTTATATTTGATTACTTCCCTCTGTACCCCTGCACCAGGACGGAACGTAACACACATGATACACATTTTTCTCTAGTAATAGATAGATGAATGGTTTCCCTTTTCTATGCTCAAGAAAAGGTGAGAGAAAAAGACTAACTCTCTATAAACACTTTAAATAATGCAGTTGCCTCACCTGCCCACTAGATGGCAGTATATTCTAGTGGTTTGATTTGTGTGTGTCAGTGAATAACATTACATTTAAAAACGTTAAAACTGTAACCCAATAAACAAATAACAGAATGCCATTTTATGATTTCACACATTCCAAAAGACTGTAATTGAAATGTAAGCTAATAGAAAGAAAAAATTGATTAGATATGAGTTTTGATAATGCAAAACTCATATCTAATCTATCCACAGAATGTTCCGTTCGTGTACAGATCACAACCTATCATTGCCCACATGTGACTGCTTTTAGGGAAGCGTTATTAAGAGAAGCCACTGCAATAGCATTGACAGCAGTTACATAAGTCTTCTGTGGTCAACACAAATGTCTAAATCATTCAGACCAGACAATGGAGCTAGGTGATAAGATATGTGCAGATTTTGTGCAATGTCAGGGTTTTACCTCTGATGTAAATGTATCTGAGCCAGATGTGAGTGCAACAAAAGTGTAACTTGAAAATGTTTTGAAAATATGGGTATGTCTTTGAAACAGTGTCTTGTTGGAAATTAGTAATCTCAGACATGCAGGCACTCTTTGGTTTCTGATGAGGAAGTCTCATGTCAAATGTATAAATAAGGATAAATACACTGATAAGAATACATACAACAAATACAGTATATGCAGCAGTAATGTGCAAGGATGAATGCGGTAGCGGGAGTAGCAGTGGGGGTTGAAGTAGTAGGCATAGTTTTGAGGAAAGGACAAGATATAGCCAGGTTTGCAGCAGGAACAGCTGTAGCTACATCAAGCACACTTACAGGGGAAACTGCTTTTGTGGGAGCTGGGATGGGGGGCGTTGCAGGACTTGGTGCAGCTAAGGGGGCAGAAACTCCACAGGAAGCAGTAGAGAGGGCAGTAGAGGCTGTTACAGAGGTAGCACTCTCTGTCTTAGATAAAGCACAAGGTGTTTTAAAACAGAGGCCAAACGTAACATAAACTTCTGAATAAAGGGAAGAGAATGTATGAACAAAGATCCTTCTGCAGACTTCAGGATAATCTTCCTATTTATACGTAAAAAGGTCTACTTCTTGTCTGAGCTTCAAACCTAGGTCACTTGTTTCTGTTTCAAATACATTTTCCAAACTTAAGGTACGGACATAAAGTTTTAAACAAATGTGATACAATCATGACCCCGTGGACTGAACCTGTTTATATTTTATGATCATTTGAAAACTATTTTGATATTGTTCATACTGGATATATGGATTTACAAGGTTCTGTTCATTTTTATTGGCACAATTCCATATTTGTTCTGCAACTACTGCACAGCAACTCCCCCTAGAGATAAATACAAAGTTATACTATAAGTATATAAGTCATATTATTGTGGTCATTTAACATCTTGCCAAGGACAACAGTTGAAAATTAGCCTGCTGGCTAATACTGGCTCATTTACAGCAATGTGGATTAATGTGCACTGTCCTTTTAAATAAATAAACAAACAAAATACACGGTTATGTATTAAATCTTTGATGTATGTAAAGTATTATTTGATAAAGGTTGTGTTTCTTTGTGGATTACATTGTATCAGCAAAACAATTATAAGATTGAATAAACAGAATGCTATGAAAACATGTTAGTTCAGCAAATAAAGTTGTGTTTGGTTATTTCCCCCCACCACACATATGCAAGAACTGTAAGTGAAACTAGAATGAAACCTGCGTGAGAGCAAAGAGGAATAGACAGACATGATGTCTGTTACATGTGAAGCTGTTTTCTCTTGTCAAGATCATGGACAGTAAGTTAACATTACTTCTTTCAGTTTATTTTGTTTTTAACAATGCACACTGTATATTACTCTATGTCATATGACATCTATCTGAGAAGACCAATGATGAGTGTTGTCTGATGCTATAACAAATCTATTAAAGTAAAAATAAAAAAGGTAAAGTTTATTTTTGTATTCTCAAGAGAGCGTGAAATAAATGCGACAAAACAGAACTGGACAATTAAATCAACCAAAAAGACCAAGCTGACGCAGAGTAATTTTTGAACAGAGGGAACCACATCCTGTTGAAAACTGCTGATATGATTGGGGAAGGTTATTGAAACATATGCTGATTGAGCAATAAGGATTTTTGTTTTTATAGGAAAATAACCTTAAGACAAGTATAGAGTATTATTAATGGAGGTCATGCTCTTTCAGTCTCGAACAGGAGAATTGTTATATTGGGGAAAACTGGAGTTGGGAAAAGCAGCGTGGCTAACACCATTTTTGGAGAGAAACTGTTAAAAAACTAATAACACCGCCAACTCTGAAACAAGTAAATGCCAAGCAGAAACCAAAATCACTCTGATCGACACTCCTGGTTTATTCGACACAGTTAAATCAGAGAAGGAGCTTTAGCCTGAGATAATAACATGTATCACAGAGTGCGCTCCTGGGCCCCATGCTTTTCTCATTGTGCTTGAAGTAAAGAAATTCACAAAGCACCAACGGGAAGTGATCAAAGAATTAAGCAAAGTATTTTTCTGAACAGTTCTCTTCACTCATGGTGACCAGCTCGATCAATCAATCAATCAATCAATGTTTATTTATATAGCCCAATATCACAAATGTTACATTTGTCTCAGTGGACTTTACAGTTTGTACAAAATATCAGTATGACAATACGATGAAGGCCAAAGTGTCCTCCCTTTCGGAGGCTTGGTAACAGTGTTACAAGGATATTTTTAAAGGAATAAAAAACAACCAGATTCCACCAATCTCTGCATCCCAAACATGTCTTACAACCGCCGCTAGAATTGATTTTTTTCAAATGTTTTGGTATCTGGGTTGCGTTCCGATAATCCAAAAATCAGCTCCTAAATTCTAACCCTATCTCCTATTCCTTGACCTCTGAGTGAAACGTCACGGGGTTAAGGGATAGTGGATAGGAGAATTCAAAAGGACTTAGGAGAAGAGACTGCGGTACTTTAGAGAATCCGAATGCACTTTCACTATCCGACGTGTTTATGATGCGCCAGCGGACGTCATGAATGTGCGTCTGCTGCTGCTGTGGGGAAACTATGGAAACTACAGTTTTCTATAGCGGACTACAACATGGATGTTCAATAAGAAGGAGGGACTCATCTCGAGACTCTGCACCGTGCTCTGATGCTGTTGTTGTATGCTTTATGAACGCGGACAACAGAGAAACATATTCTTCATGACCAACGTTGGAATTGAAATAAAAAAGGAAAGTGAAACTTATGCTCGTCACCCTCTCCCTCCGGGCCACATTAATACAAATGATCCCAATACGTATGATTGTATGAACTATTAAAAGATCTTAAAATCAATACAAATGTATTTATTATAAACGTTAGTCCCTTAACATCTATCACTGTGTATATCACCATTCAAACATCTTTTAAAAGTTGAACAAACTCCACACAGCTCAGTAAAGACTGTGAAATGTTGACTTTATTTGATCATTTCAGTAAAAACTAACGTTCATATTTCTCTTTTTGATTATAATACTGATGAACGTTCAGAACAAAGCACTTTGGCAATTTACCACATACGTTTTAAAATGCTTAATAAGCACCGTAACTTTCATGATATAATTTCTCGGTCATAATCGGTTGTTTCCGTGAACGGCCGACTTTTGAGTGACGGCAAATGCTGCGGCTGCAATGCATTGTGGGGCAGCATTTTCTCCTCTCCTTTCGGTTAGGAAGGTCCAGTGGTTCCTAAGCTAAAGGAGGTTATAAAGGAAGTTTGAAACCTCCTTTCCTTTCATTTGGAGAATTGGAACGGCACTTAACATGGCTGCCACTGACGTACTTCCGGGTCATTTCACTTGGTTAGGAAGGTTCCTAAGCTAAATGGACTATTGGAACGCAACCCGGGTGAAAATGGACTGCTGTGCATTTAGCTGTCCTTTCAGGCCCCTCCCCTTTTGAGAGCGTAGGGCAGAATTAGGAGGGAATTCCGTCTCGTAGCGTTTGTGCACTGTTTTGAAATGCCGCTCCTAAATTACCCTTCTTCGATAAAGCCACGCTCGCATTGCAGATGAGACAGATGGACTTTGAATTGGAATAGATACAAAAATAATCATCCTCCCACTCGGAGTGAAAATTATATATGCTTTTTTGCTTCTGCCATAATTGCGGTCTTGTGTGTGTGTGCGGACTGGCACTCTTGTTGACACGGACAACGTCGACTGGTTGGGCACACCTGTGCTAGCCACTGCCTCCGAACGTACTTCCTACGCTTACCCGTTGGCAATAGATGGAACCGAGCATTCCGTGGATTGTTCCTATCCGAATTGTGGCAATGTTTCGCGATACAATGAGGCATATTTCAATAGAATTGTGAGAGTAACTAGAGTAAACAACATGAACAAAGCACGTCAATTTGTCCTCGACACCAAACGCATAGTTCACGTCACTTCCGGTAAAATAAGTCATGTGACTCGTCAAAATGGCGCCGCCCACAGGGTTGATGTTATTTCGGTAATTAATCAGTTTAAAATCACTGATAACGTCATCGGATAAAAAAAATTAAAAAAAAGTCTGGCAGAGACTGGTCTGTTTTATCGGATGATAATTATTTAAAAATGCGTGTCATGAGGATTGCCTCCCTTTAACATGTACGTACATGTACGATGCTGTTGGATGCTGCCAGTAAAAACAGATACAATTCCATTAAACCTGTTATATCACTCTGAGACAAACCACTCCAGCTTTAAAAGATATGAAAGGGTGCAGCTGCCATCCTCCCTCTTCTCACGAAATATTAAAAGACTACATATTCTATTGATGATATGTTGAATTTAATCATATTAGGAGTGTTGAAAGCTGTGAACGTAGTCGTATTTGACAGGGAACCACTTATTGTAGCTGCACTGACCTGTTGTCTATGGTTTTCACTGCGCACAAATTATGTCAGTCAAAATACGCAAATGCAGAATGGGAGGATTACCATACTGTTGGCCAATTATGTTAATGTCATGTTCATACAAACTGGATTAGGGTTACATAGAGGCCTGATTCCACTAATAAACCTTTCAAAATAAAAGTCTATACAATCCGTTCTTTCCAAACAACATGCAGTCCCCACCCTAAAAAGCAGACCTGCTGATCAGGAAACTGTCATTCATGCATTTCTTTTTTTATTGAATTTTTTTAAAAGACCTGTTTATTGGAATTAGGGCAATGTTTCCTCCCTTTCAGAGGCTTGGTAAAAGTGTTACAAGGATTTAAAAGGAATGAAAAAAAACCAGATTCCACCAATCTCTGCAAACGTGGCTTAAAACCGCTTCTAGAATTAATTTTTTCAAATGTTTTGGTATCTGGTGTTATTGCCGAGCTGTAAATCTGCCTCTGTCACAAGCATGCAATCTACGAAAAGTATTATTCTCTTTTTAAACACTTAAATTAAAAAAATGATTTATTTACCTGATGTTGTATTTTGTTCTTTGTTTGCGTTATAATTATTTTCTAATTAACTCGTTATAGTTGTTTTTTTATGACAGAAATTTAAAAAAATTATGTTGTTTAAGTCGGAGTTGATATTTAAATGTTTACATGAGTCTGATATAATTATAAATATAAAAAGATAATTTTTATGTGTGATATCTTCAGCTTAAAGGATGTTATAATCAAGGCCGGCAACAAGGATCTTATGCAACACTCACTCTATTCTTCAGGTACGGCAGATGTAGATAAACTGGTAGAGAACGGGAAGTAGAGTCAAACCACAGCGAGAGAACCGAAGACAGAACATCCAGCAGTCGGCTGACTACAGTCATTCCTTTTTAAGCAAAATGGACGGTAAGTGTTAAGAGTTATTGTGATTATTTACTGTGAGTTGTAAAGGCTGCAACACTAGACGTTAAAAATACTTTATCACAATTGTAGAAGTAAGTATTATCATTATTATTGGTGATAAGTGGATACGTAAGTATGTATACTAATGTAGGGCGGATTCATCTTTAAAAGGTGTTGCAATGTGTTGTGATTGTATCCTATGTTTTGTGAAGTAACTATGTGGTAGAGTATAAAGTAGAATATTATATTCCTCTGAAATGTAGTAGTGTTGATGTATGAAGTGTGAAATGAAAAATAAAGCTAAATAATATATTTTTTAAATATGTATTCATTGTCATTTGTTCATCATACATACAGAAACAAAAAAGTCTTCAGCTGTGACTACTATGTGGTTTAATCAGTCTAAAAAGTAAACAAATATTTTGTAAGTACACTACCAGTCAAAAGTTTTGACACACCTTCTCATTCGAAGTTTTGTATTTATTTAAATGTTTTCTAAATTGTAGATTTATACTGAAGACATCAAAACTATAAAATAACATATATGGAATTATCTAGTAAACAAAAGCAGTGTTAAACAATCCAGAATATGATTTATATTTAGCTGGCTACTGCAGAATGCTGTGGTAGCCATGCTGGTTAAGTGTGCCTTGTGTCACCAGCACCCCTACACCATCTCACTTCCTCCTCCATGCTTCACGGCGGTAACCACTCATGCAGAAACAATCCTCTCTCCTTCTCTGCGTCTCACAAAGTCACGGAGGTTGGAACCAAAAATCGCAAATTTAGACTCATCAGACGAAAGTACAGATTTCCACTGTCTAATATCCAATCCTTGAGTTTCTTGGCCCAAACAATTATCTTCTTGTTGTTCATCCTCAGTCGTGGATCTTTGCAGCAATTGGACCATGAAGGCCTGATTCACGCAGTCTCCTCTGAACAGTGCATGTTGAGATTTGTCTGCCACTTGAGCTCTGTGATAATTTATGTGGGTTCTAATCTGAGGTGCTTTGATTTGCAATTTTCTGAGGCTGGTAACTCTGATGTATTTATCCTCTGCAGCAGAGGTAACTCTTGCTCTTCCTTTCCCGGGGGGGGGGGGGGTCCTCATAAGAGCCAGTTTCATCATAGCATTCAATGTTTTTTGCGACTGCGCTTGAGGATACATTCAAAGTTCTTGACATTTTCCATATCGACTGGCCTTCATTTCTTAAAGTGATGATGGACGGTCGTTTGTCTTTACTGAGTTGAGTCGTTCTTGCCATAATATGGATTACAACAGCAGTCAAATAGGGCTTTCCACTGTGCACTAACCCTACCTCTGCACAACACAACTGATGGTCTCAAACACATTCAGAAGGCAAGTAATTCCACACATTTACTCTTGACAAGGCACACGTGTTAATTGAAAACCAGTCCAGGTGACGACCTTGAGAAGCCAAGAGTGTGCAAAGCTGTCATCAAGGCAAAAGGGGGCTACTTTGAAGAATCTAAAATTAAAATCATAATCTGGATTTTTGTAACACTTTTTTGTTAACTAGATAATTCCATATGTGTTCTTTCATAGTTTTGATGTCTTCTGTATTAACCTACAAAGTAGAAAAACATTTAAATACACAAAAAACATTGAATGAGAAGGTGTGTCCAAACTTTTGACTGGTACAGTATTTGACTTGATCTCTACTCTGACTAGAACATAGGTAACCTGATCTGTGCCATGATGTTTGTCTGTATTTCCTTTCTTGTCTGTTGACACGTCTGCTTGGTGGAATAAAGTCAGAAATAGGGATGATGCAAGATGGAGATAATTCAATAGTTACCATATTGTTTTAAATATTATTTACCATGTGCAGGTTTCATGGATTTTTTTCTCATCGCTGAACAACCGAAGGGTCCAGTTAGAAGAGATCACATACAATATCCTTCATAATCGTGGGCCTTTCTTTATCGATCACACTTTATTCTCTTATTGTGATAATGCACTTGACCAAAAGGCTTTCGCTTTTTATTGTGATGCAATGAGATGTTTTGTTATTATCAAGCTCATATGCGTCTTATATGAAAACAACTAAAAACAAGCGATTATTATTGATGGAAATTATTCTCTTTCAGTGTCAAATTGGAGAATCATCATCTTGGGAAAAACTGGAGTTGGGAAAAGCAGCCTGGCTAACACCATATTTGAAGAGAAACTGTTCAAAACTAATAACACCGCCAATTCTGAAACAAGTAAATGTCAAGCAGAAACCAAACTCGTCAACGGAAGAAGCATCACTCTGATCGACACTCCTGGTTTCTTCGACACAAAGACATCAGAGGAGGAGCTGAAGCCTGAGATAATAAGGTGTATCACAGAGTGCGCTCCTGGGCCCCATGCTTTTCTCATTGTGCTCGAAGTGGCTAAATTCACAAAGCACGAACAGGCCGTCATCACAAAAATAAGCCAATACTTTTCTGAAGAAATCTTCAAATACGCAACAGTTCTCTTCACTCATGGTTACCAGCTCGGTGAAGGACAGACAGTTGAGGAGTATTTCGACCAGAACCAGCATACGAGTGATCTGTTGAAGAAGTGTGGAAGCCGCTGCCATGTCATCGATAATAGATACTGGAAGAACAACCAGCAGGAAGAATACAGGAGCAACCAGTTCCAGGTGAAGGAGCTACTCAAGACAATAGATGAGATGGTAAAGGCAAACAAAGAAAGCTGCTACACCAATGAGATGCTACAAAGAGTGGAGGAAGAAATACAACAAGAGGAGGAGCTCATTAGACAGTCATCAGGAAAACATGTCAAAGGAAGAAGTCAGAGAGCAAGCTAAAGACAGAGTGTTTAAAAGGCTTACTATCAATCTGGCAGGCATTGCAACAGGTGTATTGTTAGGAACTCTTTTTGGCACAGTAACGATGGTTGGAGAAGTTCTCTTAGTTTTAAAGACAAATCTGTCAGAGCCAGGACAACTTCAATTTGTTGCCAACACAGCAATAAAAGTAGCTGGAGGACTAGCAGCAGCAGTAGGAGGAGCAGCAGGAGGAGCAGTGGTAGCAGTAGGTGTGATGGCAGCAGTAGTTCTTGCAGTGGGAGCAGTGAAAGGAGGTGTTGCAGGGTATCATGCAGCTGAGGGAGCCGTCACAGCACGGGAAGCAGCACAGAGAGCAACAAAGGCTGCCATAGATCAAGCACGGTCTCCCTTTAAAAGACTCTGTTCCAAAAATGAAACAGAGTCTAAGCCTTTAATAAGCGATGAATCGAAGAAGGGAAATTAAATATTTCACTTAAAAGTCACATCTGCCTGTCATTTCATGAAAATCTTCTTCTAAATTTACATATTGAACTTATAATGTTTATTCATAAGTAACATGTAATAGGTTTTACTTGTGTGTGTTTCGAGCTTAAGAAGCTTATTTCTGTTCACAGAATTATCTATACTCACATTAAATTCAGATTCGAGATTGTTTGTACATACATGCCTGTTCCTTTATATTTTATTATCCATAGTGAGAAACTGTGTTGGCATATTGTATTATGCAACTTTGATACTTTGTATTGCAGCTATCATAATTTCCCCTTGTGATGAAAAAAGAGTTGTATCTTACATTATCGTAACCACTGAGTGTCGGTTTGAAGAGTTGCGTACTGTCAATTATATATAATACTGTATATTATACACAAACCACATATATGCATTTTTTTAAACATTGTTCATAAATAGGAAACAGGTAAATGTAAATTAATGTAAAATAATGTTTTCAATGTTATAATCAAACAAGTGTAAGCCTATACTGTTGTTGCTGTATTTGTGTTTCCTGTTGAAACATTGCTTACTGTTTCCTGTTGCAAGAGAGTACCAGAAGAGGTCACTTAATGTATGCACAGCTTTATTTTGTGGCTATGTATGGACAATAATATATTTAAACTTTTTATAAATAAATGAACAATCAATACATGGAAAGCTATAAAACATTTTTTTTTTTAGCAAAGACAGTTTTTTCTTAGTAAAATGCCCTCCCCACACAACACACACAATACGTGAAAGTGGAAACAAAACAAAAAGGGGAATTTTAGTTCATATTATTTGTGAACACTACTCACAAATAATAATACAAAACATAATAATAATAATAATAATAATAAACTGTATTTGTATAGCAACTTTCATGCACAAAGCAGCCCAAAGTGCTTTACAGAAAGCACAATAACAATATTAAAATAATATTAAAATGAATGCAGAACAAGATAAAACATCTACAGTGATAATATGTTAAAATAAAACAATTTGAAAATACAAATGTAAAATAAAATCAAAACTGAAAAACATGGACAATGATATTGGTGAGAATTGAAAGTTAACCAAAATTAAAAGCCATATTAAAAATATAGGTTTTTAATTTACTGTTAAACATTTGAAGGGAGTTTGCTGATAACAAATGATATGACATCTTTATCTGAGGAGACTGATGCTGAAAACTAAAGTAAAGTTTCCCCTTTAGTTTTCTAAACACCATTTAAAGCTGCAGTAGCATCACCTGTCCACCAGAGAACAGATTATTCTAATGATTTGGGTAAAAACATTTGCTGGGGTTTGTATGTCAGTGAAGAAGATTACATCTACAGATAAAAATTGAAGTCAAGGAACAAATAACTGAATGCCATTTTGTGATTTCACATGACCCAAAGGTCTGTCATTGAAATGTTAGTTTATACTCGGATGAAGTGAAAATTACTTCATTACATCTATGTAATGAGTGTGACTTATCGTTGCAGCTCCACTTCATACAACTATTATACATGGTTGCTTAATGGCTTTTGTAACGTCTTAATGAATAACTCAAAACTCAAATCCAAACTATCCACAGCATGTTCCCAAATAGCCACTTTTGTCTGTCTCGACGCCTGAATAGTGTTATCATTTTACATCAGAATGCGTCGGGGCTACTGAAGAAGCTGCCAAGTTTAAACACGGTTGCAAATAAAAAATGTTAAACTTGTCATATGATTCAGGAAGGTGATCATACATGTTGATGCACTCTGCACTCTTGTCCCTCTGACTAGCAGTCGCTCCACAGTCGCTTTGCTTTTGACAACATGGACGGTAATAAATATTCTTATAGTTTTTTCGGTCAACACTGCTCTGGCAAGATACAGATATTTAACTGTTTTGGATTTAAATAATTTGTGTGCAGACTCCACGCTTAAATGCCTTTAATTTTGTTCTTTAAATGTTCTCACATTGCTGTACAGTGATTGGTAATCAAAATATGTTATAAGATGTTCTCCATGCTGTTGGGCCGCTTCTATATATCACACTTTGTTATTATTTATTTTTAAACATTTAAACAAGTTCCTTGACAGTGGTACAGATACTCGTTCTCTGTTTACACACACAAAAAATGTTTCATGATACGTAATTGTGTCTGATTAGTTGAAAGCAATAATTAGAGTTAATATTATTGCTTTCAACTAACCTATTATATCATTTTAAAATTATATCCATTCAAATCTGCCTCTGTCACAAGCATGCAATCTACAAAAAGTATTATTCTCTTTTTCTCTTTTTAAACACTTAAATTAAAAAAATGATTTATTTACCTGATGTTGTATTTTGTTCTTTGTTTGCGTTATAATTATTTTCTAATTAAAGGGATAGTGGAAATGGAACCTCAAATAGTTTCGTTTTAACTTATATACAAGCATAATTACGTACCAAAACAATCACACCTGATTAAAAAAATATAATAATTGCCTTACGCATGTTAGAAGCACTTTATTGCAGCTTCCCCGAAGTTTTTTAGAAACGAAATGTTCGACTCAGCCAAACCGGAAGTGACGAAAACTCAGGAAGACGGTACGATAACAAACCATGGCGTCTATGCAGAATGAACGTGGAAGGGCAAATATACCAGACAAAGAAGAAGGATTGTACGAGGTATCCAGTGATGATAGCGAGTCAGAAACATCCTCTCGGCTTTCCTACGAAAATGTCGTTTTAGGAACTGAATCTGAATCCGGTTCAGTAAGCGACGATGGTGACAATATTGAGCCAGACGATGGACCATTACGTCCTTATTTGTTCGAGCCCGAGGTGATGGTTCACGGCATGGGCAATGGCGAGGATGACCAGGACCAGGCGCCAGATGATGCACCCCTACGCACAAATAATCTTGACTGGTAGGTCCCTAAGCATAGCTCACGCATCTTAAGATCACCTGTAGCCTTTACAAATATGAATCATTGTTAACCAGTTAAGCCCGAAGGTCCCCCCAGTGGACCCCTCCCACCGTTTTTTCTCTCTCACATGTCTCAGGGCTTCTTAACATTTATGAAACTATTAATGTTTCATACCCTTTTAAAGGTAAGAAACTCCGCTAACTGACAATAAGAACAATTGTTAGCTAGAAAAAACACAAGAGTAATACCAAGCCTTTGAATTAGCATTGAGCGAAACAATGCTAACTAATGCTAACGCTTTTTTACACACAACACACGGTAGAAATGCCCTTATTACTATCTTAACTGCACAAACAAGATATACGATTTAAAGCTGAGACTCCACAGATCCCACACATGTAATGTCATCACTGTAAGACCTCGAATTCCTGGAGCTATCAGCCAGAAAAGAGAAAGTAAACAACATCCTAGGATAGCCAGGCTGCCTGTCAAGTGTAGGCTGTACTCACAGTACTGTTAGTCTATCATGTCTATATGATGACTGTAGTGTACACATTCGACACTGTGTACCGGATAAATGGCGTTGTACAAAATGGTACAGGCTAATGATGCATTAAATCAACAAGAAAACATAATAAAATACTCACTTCTTATGTATTCCACTTTCAATTTGAGCTAGAGACCGAGGAATCTCGAAACAATCGTCAGTAAAATGACGGGAGCACACGACTGCCGAATTACTCGTCAGCTTCGGCTCCGTGAAGTTTGCCCGTGTTATCTGAACACATTTCACCCACTGACGACGAATGGCTGGGTTTCTTGGAAACGCATGCGTCGATACGCCATTCTCTGCATTTGCTGTCGCACTACAGCCATACAAAACACATCTATTCACCATAATAAAGGTCGGCTATTCACATGCAAATGCTATTGAATGTCCGCCATTGTTTGTGCCCGTCTTCCTCTGCTCTCGTCATCACCCGAAGATTCCCGACGATTCCCGAAGTATTTCGTTTCATTGAGAGGGCGCAGTCAAATTGAAAATAAAATGAAACTATTATGCTTATTTTTAATAAAAATACATAAGTTAAACCTAAAATTCGCGGATTTCCACTATCCCTTTAACTTAAAAAGTATGTTGTTTAATAAGTCGGAGTTGATATTTAAATGTTTACATGAGTCTGATATAATTATAAATTTGAAAAGATCATTTTTATGTGTGATATTTTCAGCTTAAAGGATGTTATAATCAAGGCCTGCAACAAGGATCTTATGCAACACTTACTCTATTTTTCAAGTACGGCAGATGTAGATAAACTGGTAAAGAACGGAAGTAGAGTCAAACCACAGTGAGAGAACCGAAGACAGAACACCCAGCAGTCTGCTGACTACAGTTCAAACAAGGAGAGACGTCATGTAAGGATTACATATTTATTGTTTACACGTCATATGAATGAAATGATTGCCATGATAATACAACAGGAGAATGTAATGGTGTTTGGCGATTAGGCTCCGGTTTGCAGGATAATCATTCAGGAGGGAAAGAACCGCTCCGATGAAATCCCCGGGGACACTGGTGGTGGTGATGAGTAGGTGAGACCGGTCTGAAGGAGGAAGGTTTAGCTTTGTCCTGGAGGAGACGGGACGCGAGAGGGGTGGAGGCGGGTTGCGTGTGATCATCTGCAATGACAACTGACAGGGAGGAAGAGCAGGCATTTAAGGAATTTAGCCTGTGCAGCAATTGGCTGCTGAGGGGTGACGCCCTCGTATTTAATGAGGGGGGAAGGGAGCCATAGAGTGACGTGTAAGTGACTCGTGTTAGGTGTTCCTTATTGAACTTGCGCTAAAGCTTTCATTCATTCCTT